TACTGGAGACTGAACCCAGGGCCATCACAGTGAGTTAAATCCCAGACCTTTTCATTCTTTATTTTGAGAGAGGGTCTGGCTAAGTCACTATGTTTCTTAGGCTGGGCTCAAGCTTGTGGTTCTCCTGCCTCAGCCTCCCAGAGTGCTGGGCTTTCTGTATCACCATGTCCACCTTTACTTTAATCATTTCTTTGTGAGGTGTCTTTTAAATCCATGACAACCATTAAATCCATGTTTTGAAAAATTCTGAACTTCTAACCAGACCTGTGAGTCACAAATCATAAAGTATCAGATTTTAAAAAATAGGGCTGGGGATTTAGCTCAGTGGTTCTGCCGCCTGCCTTGCAATCCCAAGGTCCTGAGTTCGATCCCCAATACCAAAAAAAAAAAAAAATGAGATAACAGAAAAACAAGTACAGCATGATTTCATTAACAATATAAAAAGTTGGTTTTATAGAAGTTGAGAGTAGAATGGTGGTTACCACACCTGGAGAGAACAAGGGGAAGGAAAGACTGACCAAGGAGGCCTAAGTTACAAGTTCGAGAAGAGCAAGGAGTTCTAGTGGAAGATTACACAGCAGGGTGATTATAGAGAAAGATAATGTACTGCATATTTCAAAAAGCTAGAAGAAAAGATTTTAAATGTTTTCCCCACAAAGAAATGGTAACTGTTTAAGGAGATAGATATGATTTACCCCGATTTAAATATCATACACTGTATGCATGTACTGAAACATTACATGGTACCTCATAAATATATATGACCTTCATGTTTTTATGTATAAATTATAAAATAAATTCAGGCCAGGTGTGGTGATGCATGCCTCTAATCGCATCTCGGTAGGCAGAGGCAGGAGAATTGCAGTGAATTTGAATTCGAGGCCAGCCTAAATTAGTGAGACACTGTCTCAAAAAAATAAAATAAAATAAATTTAATATTTAAAGAGGAAATAATTTTCTATTGTAGAGAAAAGTAATAAAATATATGCAACTGCATGGGTCTTATTAAAATTATTTAAATATTAATAATTATACATGAACATTTGAGTGAGTCAAAAATATTTTCACACTATTAATAATATTTTAAAATCTTTAGCTCATCTTGTTCTTATACATATTTCACTGTATTTAACAGTCACATTAGTACAGCAGTAAATATGTATTTTATTTACACACACAATTACCTATTCACAAATAAAATATATAGTTTGGGTATGTATGTTCAATATTTTGTTTTATTAAAAAGAGTTCATTATTAAAAGGTTGTCAACCACTGATCTAGAAAACTCACTGAAGTATTTGGACAACCTTGCTTCCTGGTGGATTAGAAGATTTTACTACATTAAGTCATTTTGCAAGGAGTCCAGTCTGATGTTGGCGCCAAGTAAGAGAGGTTGGTGAGTACAGGCAAGAGGCCATGACTTTGATGTTGCCAAACAGCCAAGAGTCCTGACAGTTTACATTCTCTCCTGACTCCCCCAGGTGCCCTCACCCCACCTCCTACCTTGTTGAGGAACTGGTTCCACCCAGTGGGGCAGCCGCCCAGCGCTGCAGCTGGCAGGTCTGGAGACTGCATCTCTCCAGTGCTGTTGCTGCGCTTGCAGATGTAGGGCAAGGCTGTCATGCATCTCTGGTCCGCCCAGTCTTCTGTGAAAGGGCAGGGGAGGGAGTCACCCCCAGGGCAAGGCCTGCAGAGCTATTCTCAGCCTCATATCCTAAGAAGTTTGGTCTGGGGCTCAGGGCCTATGTCCAGCTCTGAACTTGAGGCTTCTGTGGCTTTGGGGCTACGGAGACAGGACCAACCCTCTGTGGGTTTATTAGCCTTCTTGGGTTTGGGGAAAAAGAGAATAAGAAGATGCTGGTGATTCCTGCCAGAGCTCGCCTTACCACCCCCAACACTGATTCTCCACAATGGCACCCTGTTTGTCACTCCTTGTCCTTACCTTGGCTGGCTGTCATATACACACATTTCTGGTCCTTGCTGATGGGCCGAGGTCTGCCTGGAGCCCAGGAGATGAAGTTTATAATGGAACCATCGGTCCACCTGCAATGGCACAAAAGAGTGCTGGGCCACCAGCACTGACCAGGGCTCAGCCTCCCCCATACACAGCACAGAAGGCAGTGGGAAAGGGGCAGGGAAGGGCTCAAGTTCAAAGAGTAGAGCTACAGAGCTCAGTGCAGCCAGGGACCCAAGGGGACCTGATGTCACCAGGTAAGGTCTAGCCATTCCCAAGCACTCTTCTAAGATGCTCAAAAACCCCAAAGTATGGGCTCTAAGAGCAAAGATGTACTCAGATTCCTGTGGGCTCCTGGTCCTCCTGCTTCAAGGACCCTGATACACGGAAGGTGGGCACTGAAGAGTCCCCTCTGGACCATCATGTGCTCTGTTCACGTCCCCAGAGGCTTTGTTCATAATGGATGATCCCACATACAACAGAAGCTGCCATTATTTAGCGCCCAATATGTGCTGGATGTTGTGCTCGATGCAGTTTATTTCTCATCCTCATGAGAATCCTAGGAGGCAGCTTCATTATTTCCACTTTCAGATGAGAAAACCAAGGCCAGAAAGGTTAAACCATTTGCTAAAGGCCACACAGCCAGCGAGGAACAGAGCTGGATTCAAATACGTGTGTGTGTCTCTCTGGGTGCTCTCCACCTCCCCACCTCTGGCCTAGGAACACAGCTGGCCATCCACACATCCACACGGCCTGTTACCTCTCACACCTGCTGCCCACCAGAGCTCCCACCTGAAGCGCCCATCATTCTCCGAGGTGTGCAGGCCAATCCACCAGTGCTGCTCCTGGCCCTGGGAGAACTGGGGAAGTAAGCAGATAGGCAGGTGAGGATGTGCAGCCCCCTTGCCCTCAATACCCAGTCCATAGCCCCCCACTGCCTCCTACACCCACCTTCTGAAGGTTATGCCCCAGGAAGTCCAGCTCAGCCTGGCTGTGCACGGAGGTCAGCTCAGCCTGGAACCACGTGCAGATGCGCTGGGCCTGCGCCCACGTGGAGTGGTGCTCAAAGAACTTGTACTCAGCCTCCTGGAAATGCAGCCATTCCCGCCGGCCTGAGGGAACAGTGAACAGACTGAGACTGCGTGCCAGGCCCCTGAAGCACACAGTGGAGCCAGGGCAGGTGGCAGGTGGGCCTGCCAGCACAATGGACCTGGGGCAGTCCTTGCAACAGGCTCCAGGCCCTGGACTTGCCTTTCCTTTCAGATTAAGCCAAGGCTGCTCTGTCTAATCCCAGGCAGCTCAGTCCCCTTTTGGCTAGAACTCCCTGGGTTTCCTTCCTGTGGGTAGTGGGTGGGCCCGGGCCTCACCTTGTGGGCTGACATCAGGCTCCTGCACATCCGCGCCTATGGGGCAATGGGACAAAGATGCTGCAGGGGAAAGGAGACCCTTGATCCCGGCCCTTCCACCTTGCACTATACCATGTCCCCCGGTGCCACGTCACCCAACCTCTAGGGATCTTGCAGATCCAGTCGAGCTGCGTCTCGCACTGCATGGCCACCCACTGCAGAGAGGCCAGGTCAAGCACTGTGCAGCCCCGGATGTCATCGTCATCATGCCGGCTCCGGTCAAAATTGTGATAAGAGAACTGGAGAAGGGGAAGAGATGTAAGGCACAAGGCATAGGCTGCCCATGCCCCAGCCCCAGCCCCAGCACAAGGACACAAGAGGACTGGCCTGAGCTGAGAACCCCCACCCTTAGCTGAATGTCCCCTCTCTAATCTGCTTTCCTTTCTATGGCCCAGCTCGGGCCTGAGACCCTGCCTCTTCAAGGACCTGCCCACACTCCAGGCTCTACCCTCCTCCCACCCCAACCTCCTCCAGGCCCTCTCACCCCTAGGCCATCGCTCCAGCGCCAACTCTGACCCACTCGAGGATCCCGACGGTTCAGGCCAATCCAGAACCAGTGCTGCTCATGGATCTCGGGCTCTGATTCACTTCAGCACAACGTAGGGGTGAGGACAGAGAGAGGGGAGGTAAGAATGGCAGGTGCCCAAACACAACACCCAGCCACTCTCAGCTGTGACCTGGAAAGTTCCCCGTGCCTGAGGCCTCTCCCTCTGGGCTTCACACTGAACTGCCAAGGTCAGTGTTGTTCGTTTTTATTTAAAGCTCTCTCTCTAGGTGGCAGCCGGGCTCTCCTTCCCTCAGCTTCCCTTTGGGGTGCCCTGTCCACCAAGATTCTGCATGCTTCTACTTTAGGAAGCTGATGGGCAAGCAGCAGAGACCTGTGGCTGTGGAGCTAAGTAAACCTGAGTTACAGTCTCGGTTCACCCATGGACCAACTCTGTGGCCTAGGCAAAAAGCCTAACTTCTCCATCAACCCACAGGCTCAGTGGGAATCCTTGCTTCACCGGTGTTGAGAGGTCTGAATGAGGACTGCATGTTTAACCAGGACCCAGTCCATGGGGAGTGATAAGTAGTGAGCTGTTACAATTACTAGTCAAATAACGTAATCCTGATGATTGCTGGGAGAATATATCCATGGGATTGAGATCTCAGGAGGCCTGGATCCATCTGGGTTTTTTCCAATGCTAAGGGATTATAGATGTCATGTCAGGGAATACAGTACCCAGAGCCCACAGGACAGGGATAGGCTCCTGGCAAAACTCCCTTGGGCAATCACTTCCAGTTGCAGCCTTTCTCCTTCTGTCTCTCAGGACAGCTTAGGGAGAATGTGGGTCACTATGGGACAATGCGGGGGGGGGGCCTCAACTTGGATCAGCTTGTAAAAGATTTGGAAAGGAAAGTTGGTATGCCTAAGGGGACACTGCTGGATCCAAGATGCTGGCAATGATTTTATTTTTCTACATCATTTTTTTCATATTTTTTTTTTAGTACTGGGGGTTGAACTCAGGACCTTGTGCTTGTGAAGCAGGGCCAGGCACCACTGAGCTAAATCCCCGGCCCTGGCGATGATTTTATGAGTAAGTGGATCACACTGGACTGCCCAACTCCAGGGAAGCATGGCTACTTGAGGGGAACAAGATGGCTCTGGCACCAGTGGCAGGTACACAGATCATTCCAAGGCCTCAGGCAGGCCCCACTGGGGTTACCTTCACTCTGCCTGCCTCCCACCCCATTCCCAACCAAGAGTCTGTCTGCTCCCACACAAATACAGGCACCCTGTCCCAGGTTCAGTACCCAAAGATCTTGTTGAGCATGTTGGCCACAAAGTGCTCCTCCTCATAGCTGGCCAGGCTCAGCAGCTGGGCCCCCAACTCCCGGCAAGCTCCCTGGGCCTGGATCCAGCTCTTCTTGTCCTGCAGCCGCTCTGAGCTGAACACCTGCAGGAGCAGAATCCAGATGGCTAAGCTGCCCCCACTCCAAGGGGTAGCTGCCACCTACCCCATGACTGCTGTGGTGTCACCAGACGGTGAGGGTCCAGCTAGCTAAGGACAATCCTGCTCACCAGAAAATGAACCCCAGGGGAGGGAAGCTGGCACAGTTAGCTCCTGGAACAACCCTGTGCACTATTCCCTGATCAGCGAGAAGATCAGGCTCCAGTCCCAGCAAAGTCGTAGCTTGCTGTGAGCAAGTCCCTTCCTCTCCTTGGACTTCAGTTTCTACACATAATAGAAGACCTCGGACTGTGTGAGTGAGTCCCAGACCTGGCAGATTGCCAGGCTCTATGCGGACCTACTGAATCCAAATCTCCACAGTGGTGAAACAGAAGATTTTTATTTTGTGTTTTGAAGTACTAGGGATCAAACCCAGGGCCTCACGCATGCTAGAATAAAACATTTCATTTTTATCTGGATCCTCAAGTGATTCTAAAGAACGTTTTTGTATAGGCCCCAACATTTGGGAAACTGATAATGATGATCTCTATGGTTCCTTCAATTCCTCAAATGTGTATTACCGCCTGCTATAGATTTCACGGACGAGTTTCATCAGACATTACCCTGGTCTGCATCCGGAGTGGTGACTCTGCTTCACGAATAGTCCCCATGAGCTCCCCAAGATGAGCTGCCACTTCACACTCGTCCTCTCCCCACCCACCCCCTGCCATGCCAACAGGCTACCCCCCTACCTTATAGCAGTGCCGGAGTTTGGGGTCAGAGGCCCAGCCCTGAGGACAGGAGCCAGTGAGGCTGGGTGTGGGGTCCGGTCCAGGCAGCTCCGGTGTCACTGGTGTGCCCAGGCTCTGCCGGCAGATGTAACGAGCACGGAACGAGGTACAGTTTTTCACCTCCCACAGTCCCATGGCGCTGCCTGTGGCCAGGGCCACACAGCCCCCATGGCTGTATCCTGATGGAGGGAGAAGGGAGATCTATGAGCAGAGGACTCAGCCCTGCAGGACTCTACCACTACAGCTCTGGCACTGGTAACCAGCTAGGCCTTTTCCGCAGGGACAAGCTCTGGAGGGTTGGGGCCCAGGCAGCAGGAAAGAATGAGACAGAGAGCTGGGGATTTAGCTCAGTGATTTTGCTGCCTGCTGCGCAAGCTCAAGGACCCGAGTTTGATCCCCGGTACCAAAAAAAAGAATGAGACAGAGTCTTGGCTCTTTGAGATCTTAGGCAACTTGTTTAGCCTCTCTGATCCTATCTCATTATCTCCCTCATTAGGTTATGGAAAAAGTTGAAACACATAATTGTGAGATGTTAATTGTATTAAAAGCACATATTGTATTGTGCTTACTGTTCTATGCTTTTTACATGTATTATCCCTTTCTAGTAAAGAGTAAGTTAGAACTAACATCAATTCTGTGAAGTAGGTACAGTCATTCCCATTTGACAGATGAGCAAACTGAGGCCCAGAGGATGCACAGGTATAAAAAGCAGAGTCAGGATCTAGGTTGGGCAGTTCGGCTCCACAGCCTGTGCTCCTAATAGAGCATACTATACAAATCATCAATTTACTGGGAAGCCCAGAAGCTTGGTCCTGGCAGGACAAGTCCACTGTGGGCTCTCCACTTCATCAATGCCAGTCCAAGAAGGGTCTGACTGTGGGGGGAGGCGCTCACCAGGCTGGTCCCTGTTCCAGTGGGTGTACATGACTTCGTCCCCACTGAGCCAGCGGAAGGAGCTGGTGCTGTTGAGGTCCTGCAGGGCCGTCCAGAAGTACTCGCCCTCCCAGTTGTAGATGAGGCTGCTGACGAAGGCCTGCTCGAACCTGCGGAGGACAGGCTGGTCATGCAGGAAGTGCACCACCCCACTCCTGGGGCCACAGCCCAGACCTCTGGCTCCAAAGCTTGAGTCTTGAGCCTAGCCAGTAACTTGCTCAGGGAAGTGGGGGCCAACAAGCTCCCTCTTCTGTTTTACTGTCCACACCTCTTGTATGGCTGAGAAGGCAGAGAAAAACACACAACCAAGGGCTGTCCTTCTTGAGCATCTATCTGTCCACATCTGTGCTGCAACTGCCCCTTCCCTGCCCCACACTAAAAACTAAGTCTTCCCTTGTGACAAGACTTCAAAAAGTCCCTGGCAGGATGCTACCCCATTTGGTGAAGGAGTCATATAAGATGAAGACAAAGGTAAGAGGTGGTCAGGGCTCTGATCCCCGTCCTCTCATACCTGTTGGTGATGGTGACCAGCTGAGAGCCGTGGTCGGTGCACAGGCGCCGGGCCTCACTGTAGGTCACTTGGTCCTCTCCAAGCCAGTAGCAGGATGGGCTATGCCATGTCCAACCCTGGCTCAAGAGAGTGGGCAGGAGAGGGGCATCTGTGGGGAGGGTGACTCTCCACTCTCGCTGTAAATACCAGCACAGGGGATGCCACCACAGGCATGGCTGATGTGTGTAGGCCAGAAGGGACAGGCTTGACGCCACAGAGGGCAGTGTTCTGCATCTGGTCACTCTCCACTCTGCCCTCTATTCTGTCACCCACAACTGTCAGATTCGGGTCTATGATGGACCCAGCCTACAGCCTGGCTCAGAAAGACAAGTGCCATTTAGATCAAGAGGCACAGTGGGGAATCAGCCAATTGGCTGGGAAAGCAGAGCTGCGAAGCGGGGGAGAGATGCCAGGATCCAGAGAGGGATGGGTTGAGAGGATGCAGGGGTTAAGTGGCAGGGCAGTCCCTCAGTGAGGAGACTACTGCAGGTGCAGTACTGGCTCCTGAATGGCCAGCTTGAGCCAGGACACAAGAGAAGAAACGGGTATGATGTGTGTGTGGAGCTCCCATGTGCTCATCAGTGGCTGCGTGTATACCCCCGGCAATGCCAGGATATTATGGCCATTCAGCACCCCTCCAACACACATTCCAGGCTGGCCCCGGTGCAGGCAGTTAGAAATTCCTCTCCATCCCCTACCTCCACTTCACCCAAGCCAGGACAGAGCCCCTGGGCCAATCCCTGAGCGTGCACACTGACCCCAGACTCTTCTGCTCTCGGTCTGTCTGCTCTCTCCTTCCTCCCCCACCTGATCATGGCTGTTGGCATTTCCTGTCCTGGGGTGGGTAGGACAGCTATTGGGGTGCAATGGATTGTGGGAAGAGGCTTTATCCAAAGGAAAACAGAGTAAGGAGCCAGGCTAGCAGCAAGGGGTTGAGGAGAGAGGCCACAAAGCGTCCTTTATGAGCAACCTTCCCACACATCACACTACTCACACTGTTACAGGGTGTGAGGCCTGGGGGTTGGAGTGTGTGGAGCCTAGAAGGGCCTGGAAGGAGGGGAATGGGCTTTCACCCACTCATCCTCAGTCACACATTGTCCCGTACCTTCCCGAATCCCCTCCAACATCTCCACCCTGAGTCGTCCTTGGAAGCCCATGGGGCTGGAGCACAAGGTGGTCAGGCACATCCACACCAAGTGGCCTCACTCTTCCAGAGGAGGCAGCTGAGAGCACATTATGTCAGGCCCTTGTGTGTGCCAGCCAGGCCGGGGAAGGGATGGACAGAGTCAGCTCTCCCAGAAGCCTCTTCCACAAAGATGGATCTCAAGCCATCCCCACCACCTTGTTCTCTGCTGCTGGGACGTGGCTTCCCCACAGTGAGGGGACGTGGGGCTTAGGATAGGGCCCACAGCTCCAACCCAGCCTCATCCCATCCAGTATCACTCCTTCAGGAACAGGGAGCCTGAGAGCTGAAGAACAAGGGGCACAAGAAGGGGAGGGTGTGTGCCAGGTGAGGTTGTAGGATTCCTCTACCCCTCCTGCTCCTCAGAGCCTCCCCCTCTGTACCCACCCATGGCAGCTCCAGAAACACCCTCACCTTCCGGCAGCCATGGTCCTCCTCAGTGGCCCCCTGGCTCAGCTGGCCAGCCTTCTTGCAGATGGATGGCAGGGACTGGTTACAGGGACTGTCATTCCAGCGACCTTCCTAGGGGCACACGGTGAAGGAGTGTCTCAGGCCCCTCCCCTATGTCTGCCAAACCCTTTGCTATTGTGCTTTTTAGACCTGGTCTTGCCTCTGACTTGCTGTGTGAGTCTGAGCAATTTACCTTGAAACAGGGGCTCCTTTAGAATTGGGGATTTAAAGGAGGACCCAGTCCTGGCTAACTCCATTTTGCTCCTCTGGCCTGTGAGTCATTTTTTCTTGGCTTATTTCTCGTTCCAGGAACAACAAGCCTCTCGGGCAGATCACTTCAAGTGGGGAAGCAAATCGTCCCACCTCAAGCAACACTGACTTCCCAGAAGTCAGCAGGACTCCACAAAACCAGACTCCGATAACAACCAACCAGACCACAACCTGACCAAGACTGCTTGATTGTGCATACTTCTCGCTCCTCACTTTTGCCCTTGCCCTATGGAACTCTGAAACTCTTGTTAGTGCCCATAAGGCAGGGGTTTGCACACAGGTCCCCGTTCTTTCTGGTATGACCATACTGAATAGATTCCTTTCCTGTACGGCCACCATTCATCAGTCTGGTCTGTTGGAACCCTTAGAGTCAGCTCTCTGGCCTAGGACTCCAGGATCAGCCAAACTTCTCTGTGTGCCAGGTAGGAGAGCAGGGTTAGTTCAATAAACCTCACAAGGAGATGAGAGCACACATAGTGATGTTAAATGCCCTGATACTTTAACAAACACTGTCTAAATGAGAAAAGGTGTTCTTTTAAATTATTTATAAACATCCAAAACAAACCATCTAAGATTGTTAGAATAACTGCAGCAGCATAGGCAGATGAGATTCCCAAGGTATATGGGAGTCATCTCCCAAGACCCCCAGTGGATTCCTAAAACCCTAGATAGTACCAAACCTTATATAGACTATGTTGTCTTACCTATGATAAAGTGCCTATAAATTAGCCACAGCAAGAGACTAACGATTAATGATAGCACAATTGTAACAATACTATAACGAAAGTATTTAAAGGTTATACATCTTTTTATTTCTGAAATTTTCCATTTAATATTTTTAGACCATGGATGACCTCAGGTAACTGAAGCTATAAAAAGTGATCCCATGGTGTATTGGGATGGTGCTAATGAAGAGCCAGAAAGAGAGCGTAGAACCCTGTTATCCTCAGGCCCAAATCCCAGGTGATAAAGCTGAAGAGGAGTTTAGTCCTGGGTCCCATGAATGCCTGAGCCCTACCCTGAGTACCCATAGACCCCCAGCAAGCAGCATGTCTGCCTTTAAGTTCCATCCTGAAGGTACACATGTTTGTGGAGCCCGGCACCCAGAAAATACCTGGAACATAGTACATACTCAAAAAATAATTGTTTTCAAATTTTTAGATTGGAGCTAGGATGTATGTAGCTCAGTAGTAGAACACTTGCCTAGCATGCATAAGGCCCTGGGTTTAATCCCCAGCACTGGGGAAAAAAATAGCATTCCCTCTAAGGTAAATGGTTGTGCCATCATGTCTCTGGTACTGTATTCTACAGCAGAATGTTATCTGTCCTGGCAATAGGTAATCTGTTCCTGTGGCTTTATCTTGTTTTAAAGGGTTTCTTTTCTCCTTGAAGTCCTGCATCAATTTCTCTACCCACCCATACTACATTTAAGTGAAAACCATGGCAACCAGGTTCAGCAGTACATGCCTGTAATTTCAGCACTCTGGGAGGCTGAGGCAGGAGAAGCACTAGATTGAACCTAGCCTGGGCAATTTAGAGACTTAGTGAAAACCTATCTTAGAAAATGGAAAAGGACTAAGGATGTAGCTCAGTGTGAAGGCCCTGGGTTCAACTCCTCAGAACGATAACAACAAAAAGCAATCATAATTTCTTAAGCAACTCCATAAAACTTAAAAGTAACTCCATAATTTCTTAAGAAGACAAGACCCTGGGGTGGTTAGGGTAGGAATTTGGAGGCGACAAGGGCTGGCAGAGTGGACCTTTCTGTGGGGCTGCCACATCATACAGGTTCTAATGCCACCTGCTGGCAGGGAGGAGCAGCTGGCGGGAGGTCAAGAATGGACCAGGCAACATGCATGGGCTTTAAGAGAATTGACTCCTGGAATTCTCCCAGCGACCGCTAGTAACTTGCCCTAGTGACTCAGCTAGTGGGGAGTGGAGGTGGACTTAATCCCTGCAGCCTTTCCATAGGGGCGAGAAAGGTCAGTGGGAAGTTGGGGGACAGATGAGAGGACAAATGGACAGGATAGGCAGGTGCTGAGAGGAGCTCCTTCAGCGGGAACATGTAGATGCTGTGACCCTGTCACGGGGAAGGAGGATCTCACCGGGCCCCAGATGGTGACACAGTCCTCCAGACTATCCCGGAAGTTGTTGGGCTCAAAGGGGTGCCAGTGGGTGAAGCTCACAAGGCTGCCATCAGACCACTCAAAATTCATCTGCAGTTTCAAGTCGTTGAGGCCAATCCACAGCTCCTCCACCTCTGGGTCAACAGGAGAGCAGGGGAGAGAAGATACCGAGGGGTCAGCCTTAGCCGCCAGCAGGGAAGGAAGAGAGTCTCCGAGCCTCCTGGGCAGGATGGGATGGACAGCATGGAGACCCTGCCCTCCACCCCAGATGTGTGGCCAGGCAGCTCCTCACCTTGCTTGATCTGCTTTGTGATGAACTCCAGCTCGGCCATGCTGTGGATGCTGAGAAGGTCACCGCCACCCCGAAGACAGGCCTTCTTGGATTCTTGCCAGCTGCGCTTCTCAGCCTGCAGGCGGTAGCAGTGGCCCTGGAAAGGCTGCCAGCTGGGCTCACACTCCACCTTCACATTGGCCCACCTGTCTGCGAGACCCACAGGGCCGCTGCTCAGAGACTGAGCTACCCAGTTTGAATACCAGCCCACTGGGCGTCAACCCGGGCAGGGCCTCCAAGCCATCTCCTCCCAAACCTGTCCCAGATCTGCCTTTCCCTCCCCAAACAGTCTTGGACATGCTGGAGGCTAAGGGGCAGAGACCCAGGTAGTGGAGGCAGATTCCACCCAGGACAGGACAGCTTCTTTGCTTCTCCTCTCAGAAAGGCATGGGAAAGAGATCAGGACAAATCAGCCCCCTGAGCCTTGGCTTCCTCCTCTATCAGTGGCATTCCCTGCTATGAGAATCAACTTGGTCTAAGGCTGTCTTGTTCAGTGCATGGGACCACCATTGTTCTCCCACTGAGCACCAACTTTGGTGGGCAGTGCTGGGTGGAGGTCATGAGGACAAGGGCCTTGAGCCTATAAGGGGCCCAGTCTGGCCCACCAGGAGTCCAGTAGGTGAGCATCCAGAAACATTACGGGGTGCATAAAGTCACTGCAGACTGGCCACATTCTTGGGCTAAAATTCCTCTCCTTGCTCCTTTCCCCAACCCCAGCTCCTCTCCATCCCAGGACCCTCTCTCGCCTTCATTTCAGTGAATTTTAGGTTCACCCTCTAGGTATTGGGGTCTAAGGGCAGCTGAAGCAAACAAGCCCTTGCTTGGATCTTGGCAAAAGCAAAAAGGATTTCACCAAACCACCCACAATGTCAGGCTCGGGCAGGATTCTGCCCCGGCCAGGCAGGAAGGCGTGTGCCCACTTGAAGCATCACCCCAGACTGGGATGCTGGGGCCTGCTTCATCCCAGCGGACAGCTCCTGGTCCAGGCTGCACCTTTTCTCTCAGACCTGGCAGGGTAAGGGCTGGAGTGAGCTCCTGCCTTGGCTCAGGAACTGTCAATCATCTCTTGCTGGTCAATGAGCCAAGACCCAAGGCTGCAGCCCCCAGACAGAACTGATTTTAGTGATTGCTCGGATCTGAGGTGGCTTCAGGAAGGGAAGCTCAGGAAATGTGGGTGCTTTGGGGACATGATGGTGCCCGCCTTCGGAATAACATGCTCTCATTCTGTGATGAGACACAGAAAGCAGAACAGATTTGAACTGCCTGAAATATGCCTCCTGCAGAGAGCTAGGGCTGGTGTGGAGAAGGAAATCCGAGGCCACAGACATCTACAGGTCCTTGGGGCCTGAGAAGCACTTGCCATAGGGAAGGCTCAGACAACAGGGGTAGCTTCTGGGAAAACCAGGGGTTGGTGCCCGTCTCAGGTTTCCTCCAACTTGGAGTGGGGCGGCCTGGATAGGGCTGCTCCCAAGCCCCCAGGGAGTTGCGGGGAGAAAGCAGTGGCCAACATTCAGAATCAATCTTTGGCAAGACTTTCATGGTCTGGAGCAGGAATTGACTCTATAAGCTTTTCATATTCTGTGTGTTTGTGGATTTTTTTTCTTTCTGGTTTTGCTAGCTTTTCTTTTTGAAAATCTCTTCACCAACCCCACAGCCACCCAGCAGGAGCAGTAGCTCCTGCAGCCTACACTGATAACCCCCACCTACAGAGACTCTGATCCCTGGTGGCAGGCGAGGTCTCTAGCCTTAAAAGCGCCCTGCGAGGTGGATGTGCTTATACTCAGGTGACAGGCGAGGACTCTGCACCTTGGAGACTAAGCTGCTTGCCCAAGGCCACACACCACTAAGGAGCAGAGTCGAAAACCAGGCCCTGCCTATTGCTCCACATCCATCTCCCCCATGAGGCCCCAAGCACTAGCTCTGAATCCGAATATGAGCAAAGCACTCCCTGGTTTAAGAACTGCGAAGGCTCCTCAAAGCCTGCCCAGCACCACCCAAACTTCACCGTGCAGCCAAGCCCCTTCAGCAATTGGCTACAACCTGCCTTTCTGAACTCCTCTTGTCGCCATGCCCATGCTAGTGCTTTTAAACTGTACCTACACATGACTCACCTGGGGCTTTTGTTTATTGCAGATTCTGATTCAAATTAATAGCTAAATCTTGGAAGCAGCCTATGAGTCCATCCTCAAATGAATGAATAAAGAAAATGTGGTATTTACACACAGTGGAGTACTACTCTGCCATAAAGAAAGATAAACTTGAGTCCTGTATAGGATAATGGATGCACTGAGACCATCATTGTCAAGTGAAATAAATCAGACACACAAGTTTAAATATCATATGGTTTTTCTTATATGAGAAACCCAAAATATAAAGAGCAAAATAAAAGATAGATAATATGGAGATAGCTCTTTCTCAGATGGGAAAGGGAGGAAGAGATGGAGGAGGGGACGGGAATGGAAAAAGAATTGAGATGTGTTCTGTACATGTACCAACTCGTCACAAGGAACATAATCATTATATACTGCAAACATGAACTAATAAAAACTAAAAACAAAAAAAAATTAATCGGGGGGGCAAGACCAGCAGTTAGAATCTGCATTTCTAACATGCTCCCAGGTACTTCTGGGCTGAGGTGCACATTTGGCAGTCTACGCTCCAAACTGCACTACTCAGCACCCCTACAGTTGCTGTGTACCTCCTGCTCCGCTCCCTTGTACATTCAGGTCCCTCTGCAGGAATGCCCTTCTCCCACACCACTTTTTGCCTTAAGCTTATGCACAACTTGAAAGGCCCAAGTCAAATGTCACTTCCACAAAACCTTCCTTAACTCTCAGAAGCTTAATCAGTTTCTCCTCTAGCACTTTTTATATGGATTTCAATAATACTTCATAACTCAGAATATTGTCATTGTGTGTAAAGATGTCTGTCACCTTCAGCAGACTGTGTTTTCCACAGGGCACGGTGAATATTGCCAGCACTTAACGCAGTTCCCAGAAAATGGCCCTGGAATGAATTAGTGGCACATTCCAATTCGTTCAGATTTTAGATAAGAATAGAGCATAGATAAGATAAGAATTAGAGCATTAATTAGATAAGAATAAAGAGCATTAGAGTTCCCTTGTGCCATAGAGAGACCAAGAGGTGAGGCTAGGCTAGCTATGTTGTGATTTATATCTAGATGTCCCCCCAAAGCCTCATGCGCTCATAGGTGGGACTTTGGGGGCATGATAGTCACCAGTGGATTAGTCCACTGTAAGTTTATACCTAAATGTGATGTTTGGTTTGGAGGTGAAGACTGGTTGGAGGAGTGTGACCTGAAAGGGTCTATCCCGCCCCCTTAATCCCTCTCTCTGCTTCCAGCCTGTCATGCCTTGAAGCAGCCTCCTCTGCCACACTCCTCTTCCATGCTTCCTGCCTTGGAGCCAGTAGACTATGGCCTGAAACCTCTACAAACTCTGAGCCAAAATAAAGTTTTCCTCCTCACAGCTGTGTGTATCAGTGATGAGAAAGTAAATAAAACACTGGGCTAGGAGCTGCACCCCCACCCTGTGGCCTAGACGCTGGCCCACCTGTAGGGTGGCTCACCTGGTGGGGTGGGCTCGGCTGTGGCGTTGGGTTTCTTCTTGCACACATAGGGCAGCGCAATGCTGCAGTCACGGTTCTGCCAGCCTCCTGACGACTCGGTTCGGATCACTCCACAGTTCTCCTCACTTGGGTTGTCTGGCTGATCTGTGGGGCACACAGTGCCAGCATCCCAGGAGAGAGAAGTTCACACCATGGCCTCTTCCTCCAGGAAGCTTGAGCTAGCTGGAGAACCCCAGCCCTCTACTCCAGCTCCACTACTGGATCCTCATTATTTTCCCCTGGTACTGAGGATTGAACCCAGGACCTTCACACTGAGCTACATCCCCAGCCCTTTGAAAAAATTTTCGACAGGACCTCACTAAGTTACCCAGCTAGGCTCAGGTTTGTATTCCTTCTGCCTCAGCCTCTGAGGGTGATGGGGTTATAAGAGTGTGCCACCATGCCCAGCTGTCCTCATTCTCTCTAACCTGGGCCTACACTGTCCTGAAGCCCCATCCAGCCATGGGTACCAACCCCAGCCTGGCCTCTCATGGGTGCACTGGCAAAACTGTGCACTGCCTAAAGCTGTGAGTAGAGGTCAAAACCCAGTCCACTCACCAATCCCTGGGACTTGGGGCAGAATCCATCTGCCTGAGGTCAGTTTCTAATTCACACCAAGGCACTGCTTGGATTAGTGGGGCCCTGTCCAGGAAAGGGTGGGAATCTGTGCTTGCCCCACGCACTACTGCTCTGGCCTTGGGTAGGTAGGGAAGGAGGAGGCCAAGTGGCTGTGGGGTCCCTGCACCCTCAGACTCATGTCTCACCACTCTCCCAGTTGAGGTATTTGAGGGGCGAGTTGTCCGACCACTGCCAGCCTCCACTGGTGTCCAAGTCATTAAGGCCGATCCACAGCGTGGAGCTGTAGCCAGTGAGGAGCCCTGGCAGCAAGAGGGGGTACTGAGAAGGGGTGGCCCATCCTCAGCCCTCCTGCTCTCTTCACCAATAGCAACCTTACCCTCCTCAAGCAGAAAGGGCATGGGGGACTCCACTAGGGGAGCAGGCCTCAGGCTGCTGGCTCCCCGTCCTGCCCAGGATGGGTCAGACCCCCAGAGGCTGCCTGCCCCTCACCATTGATGTAGGTCTGCTCATAGATCTCCGTGATGCTCAGCAGATCTGCCCCTTGCTGCTCACAGCTGGCCCAGGCCTCCCTCCAGGACAGCGTGGACTGGAAATTAAACTGGTAGCAGCTGTCAGTCAGCTGATCCTTGTCCCAGAAGGTCTCACAGTCGGTACCTGTCACCATGACAGACGGACAATGGTCCCTCCCCAACCCTCTCCTTTAGCCCACATGGGTCCCCAGAGACCCTGCACAGGCTGCTCCACCTAGGAGGGCCAGTGCCTCACCCTGGTCCAGAAAGTCCTGAGGCCCACACTGGATCCCTCCTCAGTTCCTCACCCTCCTCACCAGCCCCTTCCTGTGCCTCCCACATGGCCCTATTCTCACTCTTGATGGGGCAGAAGCCCCAGCGCTCATCTTTGCCGTAGTCCTGGGTGGTGGCACACCACAGATGCCCATCCTCTCGGCCTGTGCTGGTGCAGCTGTGGAACCACTGGTTGTCGTACTTGAAGGGGATGGTGCATGGCTTTCCGTGAGAGTTCCCCTGGATGGTGTAGACCTCTGCAGGGGAGAACAGCCAGGTCCTTGGCATCTGGACCCACAGACTACCCACCCCCTTTAACCCTCAGGGAAAAACCCCCAGAACCCAGTGAACTACAGGTTGGCAGGGGTCAGCAGAGAGTGGAAGGGGGCGATGGTGGCAGACAGTGGCTTTAAGTCTCCCTCAGGTCAGCCCAAGGGCTCAGAAGAGGTCCACTGCACGCTGTGGGGAGGGGAAGAAGCTCCCTAACTCCCCTTGTCCAAAATCCAGCTGGGTGAGGGGGTCTCTCAGTCCCCCACATGGCTGAGCCTAATGGAATCTCTGCTCAGCTACCCAAGCCAAGGGGCTCCACGCTTCCCCGAAAAGTTCTATCTTGGAACTCAGGTATCTTCCAGGAAAGAGCCCCAAGGATGGAGCTGCCTACCACAAGAGGTCCCTCACTGAGTGACAACTTGCAACACTTACAACTTGTAAAATGGGTGTTGGGTCACCATGGGGGTCTCCCTTAGAGAGTGGGCCTGGGGGAAGGGAATTTTTATTTAATTTTAGGTTATTAATTTTTGCATTGTTTGAAGTTTTTTTTTTTGGTACCAGGGATCGAACTCAGGACCTTGCACTTGTGAGGCAGGTGCGGTGGCCCTGGGCTAAATCTCCGATCCATGGTTGAAATTTTTATAACCATGTGTTCGTTTTGAAATTTTAAAAACGTAAATGCTTTAAAGTTAATTTTTCTAATTATTCAAAAATGTTGTGTATTATAATTAAAGGTAGTAACTGGGAAAAGGCCCACATAAGCCAAAGGCCTTATCGCTTAGGAGACTGTCCCTCCCTGATCCAGCCCCGGTGACACCAGGGACCACAACCCCTTGCCTGCAAGCAGCCTCTCACCATAGTAGGGACGAGCACACAGATCCTCCTCACTGCCATAGATGTGCCACTGGCCACTGCGGGTCTGGTCACCACGTTCAAGGGCACCAGACTTGGATGTATTGCCAGCACGGCCCCCCAGGAGTAGGGACAGCTGGTCACCCAGTGTACGACAGTGCCAGCGAAGACTCAGTGCCTCCCGGTCACACTCGTACATGCCCAGGGAGGTGGTGGTATTGGCGCCTGGCCAGCCTGTGCCTAGGCACTGCATGGTGCCCAGGTTGAAGAGCCGGTTCCGAGAGACCCACTTCCAGCGCTGGGCAGAGAGGCTGGCATTGCAGGCTGGGGTGACTCGGACCTGTGCACCCTGGGCTTCCAGGCAGCCCTGCAGTCCATGGCTGAAGATGAGGAAGACACCTGGTTCTGGAAGGGAAGGCAGGACATGAAAGCATCACGCAGACTCTGGCTGGCCTACGGGCACTGACCATGCGCTTCTCTCACACATTAAACCACTCGGTCCTCACTGTCAGCACTTCGAGATGGGGGAAGGGGAACCTGCTCTGTCCCTGTGCCCAGAGGAGGCATGGACCACCTCTGTTCTAGCTCCAGGAACACCTAGAGGCAGGGCTCAGTCCTCTGTCCCACCCCAAAGCAAACCCAACTCTACACAGCAAGTCCTGCACCATATAGTCATCCCCTCTTACGTGTGGTATCACTTTCCTCAGTTTCAGTTCCCCACAGCCAACTACATTCCAAAAATATTAAAGGAAAATTACAAAAACAATTCCTAAGTTTTCGGTAACTTTATGTTTTTGGTACCGGGGATCGAACTGGGGACCTTGCGGTTGTGAGGCGGGCAGTGGCACTAAGCTAAATCCCTGGCTCCTTGGTAACTTTCATTACAGTATACTGTAATAATTTTTCTATTTTCTTATCAGTACTGCACCTAATGCATACATTTAAGCACGGGTATGTACGTATGTAAACAACATAGCATATACAGGTTCAGCACTCTCTGTGGAGACTGGATGTGCAATGGGATGTTTCAGGCATACACTTGGGGTCTTGGAACGCACACCTGTGGGTAAGGGAGGACTACTGTACTTTCCCAAAGATCTTATGAAGATCAGTAGAGGTGTTTATATCACATACCAATCGCAACCTCCATTCATCTCAATCTGTTACAGATCATGGCTTTTCTGCCAAAGTTCTTCTCTGGCCTGGAAGTATTTGTTTCACTCCTCCCCTTGTCCCTCAGCTTCACTCGTATCATCCTTTGCTCTTTCTAGAATTCTCCCAAGCTGCTTGGCCCCCATACCCAACCACTCTCCTTCCCATGACTAGTTTTTAGACAGAATAATTTAGCCCTTTGGCTTCCTCAACTTGCATCACAGACTCCTCTGTGGAAGACACTGGAGAACCCAACCTACTCCCAGCATATCTACTTTACAGACTAAGAAATGGAGGTTTAAATTGCCTGAGTCAGGAAGTAGATTAAGAGATAATCTGGGGTTGGGGTGAAGGTGATGGGAAGGGGAAGTGACTACCAAAGGATACAGTAATTGGAGGTTTTTTTGGGTTTTGTTTGTTTGTTTTCTGTTTTGGTTTTCTTTTTTTTTTTTGGTTTGGGGGGAGGATCGAACTCGGGACCTTGCACTTGCGAGGCAGGGAGCGGAACCGCTGAGCTAAATTCCTACCCGTTTTTTTTTTCTGGTACCGGGGATCGAACTCTGGACCTTGCACTTTTAAGGCAGGCAGCGGAACCACTGAGCTAAATCCCCAGCCCTTGTTTTGTTAAATGAGACAGGGTCTCACTATGTGGTTCAAGCTGGCCTTGAATTCACTATGTAGCCCAGGCTGGCCTCAAATTTACAGTGATCCTCCTGCCTCAGCCTCCCAAGTGCTGGGATTACAGGTGTGTGCCACCACGCCTGTCTTGGAGTCTTGAAAATGTTCTAAACTTAGATTGCCTTAATAGTTGCACAACTCTGAATATACTAAAATCCAAGTAACTGTACATTACAAGAGGGTGAATTTTGTGTATGATTTATGCCTCAGGGAAAAGGAGAGGGAGGAGGAAGTTAAAAAAAAAAAAAAGAAAAGGCAGGATTGAGGCTTAAAGACATTATGTACAGGTACTGACCCTCATGAGGAATGGGATCATCATGTACAGCAAACATATACTAATAAGAATTTTTTAAATTACACAACACACACAGATTGCACATCCTAGTCTCCATATCCTAGTTATGAGCACATCCTTACCCATATCCACTCACCCCCCAGCTGCTCAGGATAATGTTCATGTCTTAAAAGCATGAGTCAGGTTGCTAGTGTTCAAAGTCCAGCTTTTCACTTACTACATGACGTAAGCAAGGGTTTAACCTCTTTATGAGTTGGTTTCCTCATCATGAGACTATTGTAAGGATTAAATGAGATGTGACTGAGGATGTAATTCAGTGGTAAAGGGCTTGCTTAGCATGCACAAGACCCTAGGTTCAATCCCTAGCACTTATTTTAAAAAAGAAAACAGTTTAATTGAGAGATAACATAAGAAAAGAGTTGAGGCAGGGTTTGGCACATAGTGAGAGTATTATAAATGTTTATTATTGTTATTATTATTCAGTTATGGGTACCAGGAGCATGCCTATAATCCTAGCACTCAGGAGGCTGAGGCAGGAGGACCACTTCAAATTTGAGGCCAGCCTGGGCTACGTAGTGAGTTCAAGGCCAGCCTGGACTATAAAGTGAGACACTGTCTCAAAACAAACAAAACAGAAAGAAACGATGAATTCAGTGGCCTAAGAGTTTTGTTCATGGCAAGATAAATTCCATAAGCAAAGTCAAAATTCAAATGAGAAAACTATATGTAACTAATTAGAGGCAAAAGATCTTCTCCCTAATATAAAAAGAGCTTCTACCAAAATGAACAAATTAATAAGGAAAACATCAACAAGTACAGTAGAAAATAAGTAAAAGGTGTGAACAGAGAACTAAACAAATGAAATGCAACTGGCTCTTAAATATCTGAAATGACAGCCTCACTCATAATAAGAGGAAAATAAATAATTCAAGTCAGATACATCTTCTCACTTTCAAATTCCTTGAAAGGTGACTCATCACTTTTCAGTAACCTTTTTTTTTGGTGCCAGGGATTGAAGGGGACCTTGCGCTTGTGAGGCAGGCACCGGAACCACTGAGCTAAATCCCCAGCCCCAGCCCCAGTGACTTTACTGTTTTTTTTTCTTTTCTTTTGGTACCGGGGATTGAACTCCGGTCCTTGTGCTTTCAAGGCAGGCAGCGGAACCACTGAGCTAAATCCCTGCCCCTTCATCACTTTTCAAATAGAAGCCAAGCTCCTTACTATGAGCTGTACCTGGATGTGCTCAGGTCCTGCCTGGCAGCCCGATCTAAATCACTCTGCTTCTTACTGCAGCCTCACTGGCCTCTTGGCTCCTCTTTGCCTCACAAGCCTTGCAGTGTTCCGCCCACCTAGCATTTCACATTTCAGGAAAAAAAGGCACATCCTTAGAGAGGCCCTCCCTCTTCTCCCAGTCCAAAGTAATCATAGTTACTCTACATATTGCTTGACTGGAGTCTCTTCACAATCTCTTTATTCTGGGTTTTTTCTTCACTATCTGGGTTGTGAATCTGCATCTACCGACTTTTTTTTTTCTTGGTTATGGGTCACTTCTTGCTACTGCCTACATGTCTAGTACTTTTTATTACACATTGGACATTGTGGATAATCTCTAGTACTTTTTATTATACACTGGATTTGTGGATGTTTTTATTACATGATGGAGATTGCGGTTGCTGTTATAGGTAATCCAAATGTTTTAAATCTTCCTATTGAAGACTGTTGAGTTTTGTTGTGGCAGGCAGTTAAATTACTAGCAGATCACCTTGATCCTGTGGAGGCTTGGTTTAGGCCTTCTAGGGTGGGGTTATCTGGGTTGAGCCTTGAGTCTCAGGGTGTGGCTCCTAGTACTGATTTTAATCCTAAAGTGAGGTCTTTCTGGCCTTTCAGAAGCCCTTGGGTGATTACCAGACCCCCCACCCCCAGACATGGTAGAGCTTGGAATTCCCAACTGTTTGCTCAGCACAAGGCAGCAACTCCCAGCTGCTGGTTCTTGCTGGGTTTAAAGCCTGGCCCTGCGCATGCACAATTTAGAGGCGTCACTAAGGATTTGAAGGTAATTGGTAAGAAGAACCTCCATAGCTCTTTCCTTTCCAGGATTTTCTCTCAATTTTTAGCCTTTCTGGTAGCATTAAAATCTGGCCTCTGCTTCTGGGCCCAGTAATACTGCTGCTTTCTGATAAGTTCCTCAAACTTGGCAGTGTGCTCTGGGGGCAAAGCTGGCTCAACTCGCCACTCATCTAGTTTGCTTTTTTTCTTTCAAGGATTTTGTCCTCTCTGAACCTGTGGGTTTTGTTGCTCTCCCATGTCCTTCAATCACCCTACTTTCTATTTTATCCTTAGTCTATAAATACTCTTGGCCAGAAACTCAGAAGGATACAAGCTACTCTGCCATTTCTAGAGCCAGAACTCATTGTCCAGCGTGCTCTGCTCATCTTCTGCGGGTCCCCTCTTGTTCATAAACTCCAGGGGATCTCTGTCTTCTCCACCATTGTAACACCAGTACTTATGCCCTTCCTGACACCCAGTAGTGCTTAATTCTGAATAACCAAATGAATGTGTGTGTGCATGAATGAATCTCATACCCAAAAAGGAGTCACAGCCAACCAGTCCATCTTTCTGTACTTGTCTATCTGCCAGGTTAGTTTTCCCAAAACACAGTGTCCCAGCTCCAGCGCTGAGTGTTCAAAACACCATACTTGTAGGGCAGAGACCTGTCTCTCCGTCCCTCTGCAACATCAAGATAGCCATCCTCTCTGGCCAGACCCGGGTGAGCTTCCTGAAGGATCACGAGGGCAGATGCTCTCCCATCTCAGGGTCCCCCACCTTTAACTTGCTCCTGCCCTTCTGCTGATATGAATGTTTATGTCCCTCTCCAAACTCCTCCATTGAAATCTTAGCCCTCAATATGATGGAATTAGAAGTGGGCCTTCTGTGAGGTGCTCAGGGGCCCTCACCCCCTCTACTATGAGAGGTTACTGTAAGAAGATTGTGTCTGAGAGAAAAAGAGCCCTCTCGAGACACCAAATCTGCCAGCTCCTTGATGGTTGACCTCCCAGTCTCCAAAACTGTGAGAGATACTTTTTTTCTTCTTTTCTCAATACTGGGGATTGAACACAGGGCATTACACGGAGCTTCATCCCTAGCCCTTTATTTATTTATTTTACTTTGAGACAGAGTCTTGCTAAGTCATTAAATTCCCCAGGCTGGGCTCGAACTTGAGATTCTCCTGCCACTGGGATTCTCCTCCCAGAGTGGGCATGGCAGATGTGTGCCATCACATCTGGTTTGAGAAACAAATTTCTCTTTTTGCTGTTGTTATTTTGTTGTTATTGTTGCTGTTGTATTTTAAAAATAAACTTTATTTACTTTATCCCATTCCCCCTCAAGCCCCCTCCCTTCCCTTTGTTTGCTTTTTGGTACCAGGGATGGAACTCGAACTCGGGTCCTTGAGCTTGCACACCAGGTGGCAAAACCACTGAGCTAAATTCCGGGCCCCTCTCCCTTCCCTTTGTACAAAAGCTTCGTTCCATTTTTCCTTCTATTTTGACTTTTTCTTGTCTCTTCCTTCCTTTCTCCCTCCCTCCTCCCTTGTTCCCCTTCCCATTTGAACATTTTCTTCCCATTTCCCAACATCCATTATACATCTCAGTCCTTATTTCCACCTTTGGTTTCTCATACCAGAGAAACAACGCGGTATTTTAAACACGTGTGTCTGATTTATTTCACTTAAGAGTATGGTGGCAAAGTCCACCTATTTAGCTATAAATGTCTGAAGCTCATCCTTCTTTATGGCAGAATAGTACTCCATTGTATAAAAAAAACCCCTCACATCTTTTTTATCTACTCATCAGTTGATGGGCATTTGTACTGTTTTCAAGATTTGTTGCTGTATTTTTCCAGTATTGGGGATTGAACTCAGGACCTTTCCCATGTGAGGCAGGTGTGGCACCACTGTGCCACCACCCTGGCTGCTGTTGTATTTTTGAGACAGGGTTTCACTATGTAGCCCAGGATGGCCTCAAACTTGAGGTGATCCTCCTGCCTCAGCCTCCCAAGTGCTGGGATTACAGGTGTGTGCCTTCATGCCCAGAGATTGAGAAATAAATTTCTGTTGTTTGAAATCCACTCAACTGTGGTATTTTGTTAGAGTAGGCCAACAGATTAAGACGCCTTCCAGCCACCCTTCAGAAACAATAAGCTGGCCCCAGGACTTGATCCAACCCTGCACAAACTTCCTTTAAGGCTGGGTGTTTTATTCTCAGAAATTCTATTCCAGGGAGGACAATTAGTAGTGAACAAAACTATCTCTCAGCAGAGGGTAGGAAAGGGGTCTGGGACCAGAAAAGGAAGAACATATTGTTTGTGGGTGTTTTTTTGTTTTATTTTGTTTTGTGTTTTTGGTACCAGGGATTGAACTTAGGACCTTGCACTTGCGAGCGAAGTAGGCTCAATGCCACTGAGCTAAATCCCTGGCCCCTTGCTTGTTTTTATAGATGCTTCTCAGAGATGGGACTGGACAGCCAGGTCCAAAACCTCACAGGAGCCCAGAGCAGCCAAGGGGGCAGTGTCTTCTCAATTCCAGATGTAGTGACATGGTTGTGCCAAAGGGCAAGTGAAGGGTCCATGCTAGCTGGCAAGGGTCGCTCCCAGGGTCAGGCTGACCTCCCCTCACTCGATAGATGAGGAAACTGAGGCCCAGAGAAAGAAAGGGACTAGGATGTCCAATCACAGCACCTTTCAAGGGCTCCATTCCTCCTGTCACATAAGGCATGGTAGTGGGCCCCCTCTTTCCTCCAGTGTCCTAGGTTCAAATCCACCTAACTTCCTGGAGAACTTGGCAGATGCACACCTTGTTCCAGGCAACACTGAGGCCACAAAGAAATGCACAGCACTCAACACCATCCTTACCTTCATGGGATCTGTAATCCAGTCAGAGAAGGACTATGGCTTTGGACACAGGAGGACGAGACCACAAACCAGCCCTTAAAATTCCAAGTGCCTAGGGGAGCTGGAATGACATGCTCAGGGCAGAGCTCTGGAAACTGAGAGTGCAGCTGAGGCAAAGGGAGAAGAATGCAAGTCACAGAACTGCCTGGACAGCAAACGAGGGTCAAAGAGCAAGGAGAGGCCTGCAGGGCGCTACAAAGCAAAGCAGAGGATGAGGAAATTTTTGCAGGTGGATCCTGGGGACTCTGCCAGGCTGGGCTAGGGACTCTTGGGGGAGCATTTTCCACCCAGAGTTGAGCAGTGGGCCTGGGCCTTCACAGAAAGGAGACCATTTCTATAGGGCCCAATGGAGAAGGAGCAAGGAGAGAGGGAAGGGTTCAAGTGCATGCTGAAAACCACACTGCTCTGGGTTCTTTGTATCCCTGCTCTCATCAAGCACTTATGAAGAGGCAGAGGGGCCCAGATACAGAGGTCTGATGCCCCCATTCCAAGGAGGCTTCTCCAGCTCCTCTTGCTTCATAACCCTGGCAGCAACAGGTGTCAGTGTGGGCGTGAAAGTGCCCACCTCAGAGGTGCAGGGCCCCTCGCCAGTCTTGGGATTGTCCTCCCTAATTGTTCATCAAGTCATGGCTCAATATGTACTTGTTCCATAAGTGAATAAAACAATAAATCTAGGCAGGGAGCTGTGCACTGAGCACAGGGTGGAAGGGGTTCATTTAATAAAAATTTAGAGACTTTTCCAGATTCTGAGGCACCAATGATAGAGTGAACAATACAGACATGATCCCAGCCTTGTTTTGTTGTTTTTTGTTGTTTCAAGACAGAATCTCATTTTATAGTTTAGGTTGGCCTTGACCTGACTATGTGGCACAGACTGGCCTCCAATTTTTGGCAATCCTTCTGCCTCAGTCTCCTAAATTCTGGGATTACAGGTATGCTCCACTATGCCTGGCTATGATCTCAATCTCAAGTGCCATATGGTCTGGCAGGTGATATTCTCTCCACTGATGATATGGAGATGATACCAGAATCCTTACCTTCTCTGAGGCCTATATCTCTTGCCTCTTGTTTTTTGTCTGCCACCAAACTTCCTGTCTCCTTCCTGTTACACATTAAGAAGATGCTGTTTGGGTAGATCCAAGCTCAGTCCTACTGGATCCATCGCCCTGTCCAAAGTGAGGTAACTGGGCACAGAGCTCAAACAGGGCCAAACAGAGAATACCTTTGGAGAACAGAAAAGTTTTCTCTTTCTGTTGAGATTGCTAATCTAGGGCTGCCCATGGCCACATTTCCTATAGAGAGCAGAGCAGAGCAGAACTGAGCAGAGCGGAGACCTAGAAGGAGGGGAAGCAGGTTCTAGTGGTACTGATATCCAGTCCCTGCCTGAGTTCCTGTTGCCCTTCACAGGCTCTTCCCTCTACTCTAGGAATCATTTGGGATCACTATTTTCCCCCTTTGTTTCCTGTTATGCTGGGGACTGAACCCAGGGCCTCACACATGCAAAACTAGTGCTCTACCACAAAGCTATACCCCGCAAACTCCAGGTCACTTTTTTGCTGAGCTAGTCTGCCACTGGGTTGCTGTCCCCTGTAATCAAAAAAAATTCTGATGAACACACAGCCCCATGTCTCAGGGCCAAAGCCCACTGCACAGTCTAGAATATCAGCCCACTCTCTTTACTCTGGGGAGGCTACTGCTCCGGACCCCTTCTGATCTGGCCTGAGAGATCAGCTTCCTGGGTCTGCTGTAATACCCCACCAAGAGGAGGCTGAATCCATATCCCATTCTCCCGGGGGGGCTTTTTCACCTCACACTGATGAAGCATTTATGAAGCGCTGTAGTAGACACTACAGGGAAACTGAGGATCAATCAGATAACACAGACTCTGCCCTTATTCTGCTTACACAGTCAGATCTGACATATAGTGCCTATAGAGGGCTGTTGGATAGAAGTGGACTTCCCAGGTAGCAGAAATACAATGGGAAACCCAGTCCTGTCACAGAAAGAGCCCTATCACAAAGCAACACATTGATAGGAAAAAAACACTTCATGCTTCTCAGACACCCACATCATCACCTGGGAAATGCATCCCTATACACAGAGGCAAGGGGTTCTGCAATCATTGGTTACCCCAGCTCTTCCCTCTGGTCAATGAGGCCTCCTTTCCCTTCCCGTTTTGATGCTTCAGTGGAGCCAGGAGGCTGGCAGCAAGGGCTTGACTAGTCTGTCGCTCCACAGCAAGCCTCCCTGCTGTCCTGGCAGCTTCCCCCATTGGGCCCAGCAGCAGAAGGAGCCTTCGAGCTGACCTGGGCCAGACAGCTGCTCTCCATTATAAGTTGAAGACATCACTGCCGAAGGAAGAGAAGTTAATTCTTGCACGATGCCTGGCACGCGGCAGATTCTCAACAAATATTTGCTGAATGAGAGGCATGTGGAATAAAACCCTGAAAGGCGCAAGAAGAGGCGAGGACAAGGAGGGTGTTTGAAGTTGGGGAACTGCAGGAGCAAAGACCGCAGGCAGGAATTCTGGGTCTAGTGACCACCTGGCTTGGTTCCTGAAGAGCTGGGCACTCAGGGGACCTGATGTGCTACTTGAGCATGGCAGGGCGGCCTCCAGCCCCTAAGCTTCTCCCTCGTCCGCCACGCAGAGGCAGAGGCCAGGGGTCATCCCAGGGAGAGCCAGAGGCCGCCTGCGGGCCACCAGCCAAGAGGAACAGCTGTTTTCAATGAGTCGCTTGGCCCTGAGGCCAAGACTGGAAAAGTCCGAGTCAGCAGAAGCTGCCAGCCCCGTCTTGCTAAGGGGCCAACCCGGGGGACCCAGCAGCCCACCCTGCACTGCCCCACAGGAGCCTGTCCACGTAAGTGCAGGCGCTGCGCCTGGGATGGGGCCGGGGCCATCCCTCTGGTCAGGGCCCAAGCCCGGCCCAGCGGTGCCCTATCCGCACCAAGACTTCGAGCTTCCGTGGGTCCCCCGCCACCCTTGGATCCTCTTCCTCCCCGGCAGCCCTCCGTTCCAGCCAGACGCCCATGGACTCAAGGCCGGGCGAACGCAGCCCCAGCTCCCCGGCTCAGCTCTGCCTCGTCCTGTGTGCACAGAGTTTCCAGCTCCGGCAGGAGGGCTTCCTCCACCATTCATCTCCAAATGCTCTTCTCTCTGCTCAGAATGCTTGTAGATATTGGTATAGCAAACTGGCAGGGAATGGGCGGAGGTGGGACAGTCACCTCCACCTACTAAACCAAGAGGAGGGGAGCGAGGTGCAGGGGAGGCGGGAGGGAGGAACCCGGGTAAATGGCGACTCCTCCCACTCCTCTGTGATCTCATCCCCTGCTGGCTTTTGTCTTCCTGTATTAAAACATCACAATCATTCTCGGCCTGTCCTTTCCCAGGGCCCATCTTGCACGACGCCACCCAGCGCTGGTTGAGAAAACCAGCGGCAGCAACCCCCGCATGCTGCGGCGGGGCTCGGGGCCTCCCCTTCCCCGCAGGTGCAGCCCAGGCCCGCACGCCCTCGGCCAAGCTCCGCACACCCGGGTCTTCGTGGGCACCGCCCCAGAGCCGTCCCAGCCCCCAGCCCGAAGCCAAAATAGCCTCAGAACCACTTCCTTCCCCGTGGGGGGAATTGCACAAGAGGGCCGGCTCCGGGGCGGCAGGACGTGGCTTTCTGGGCTGGCACAACCCAACCCCATTGATCCGGCCGCGAAGGGTGCGATTCAGGACTCCGACCTCAGAGCTAGCGGAGGATAGCGGTCCTCCCAGGACAACCGCCACTCCTCACTGAGGCCCATCCCTGAGGCTTCTGCCGAGCTACACATTTCATGTCTGTGGAACAGAGTTGTGAGCATCTTACTTGATAAACACCGCCAGGAGAGCTATGCGGGGACCCATCCCCAGAGCCCCGCTTGGGTCCCCACACACCGTCCAGGTAGAGGATGGATGACTGAGTGTATTTATTAGGAGACGCCCACACCTATTTAGGGAGAGAAGCTTTTTTAAAAACTTAGTTTTGACAAAGTGGTTGCAGAGATGTGGTGGACTGGAGGGTGACCTGTGGCTAAAATATGAGAAGCCCTCCTCCCTGCAGGGTCAGCAGAAATGAAGATTTCCTTTAGGCCTTTTTGTAATTTTCAATTTTCCATAGTGACATTTTATATTAGTTTTCTAAATAAGAAAATAATTAAGCCAGGCACGGGGGCACACATTTGTAATCCCAGTGCTCTGGGAGGCTGAGGTAAGAGAATCTCAAGTTTAAGCCCAACCTGGGCAACTTAGACCTTATTTCAATAAAAAAAAATAAAAAGGGCTAGGGATGTATGGTAGCTCAGTGCAAAGGCCCTGGGTTCATTCCCCGGTACAACCAGTCAGTAAGTTACATACACATAAGGAATGTATAGCACAACGATTTATGACAAACTAGGGTTTAAAATACTAAAGTTCCACTCAATTCAATTACTAAGCAACAGTCTTTCAAGTGACACCTGAAGTCCAGGGTAGGCTTTCTCACCAACTCTGCACAGAAGGTCCTCGTAGACCCATCACCCTCCACCCCCAGGGCCTAGGTATGGTCCCTGGCCTCTGTCTCCACAAGGTCTGGGGCCAGGATACATGTTTGTTGAATGACAGAATGAATGTAAACCAAGAGGTTTTAGAACTCATCCTTTAGCATGTGGTAACTGAAACATGGAAAGGGTTAAGTGATTTGCCCAAGGACACTCAAACAACTGAAACCTTGGTCTTTTCTAAAATAGGTATGAAATTTAAAGTTCTGAACAGCACAGTGCCAGTATTTGACCATATAATTTACTGTGCAATACTGAGAATAAAGTGGAGAGTTGGTAACAATTATACCAGGACAAGCAGCATAAATCAGGGCTGTCCCAGATCAACTAGGACAGATGGTCACCCTCCATTTAAATAATGAGACACAAATAATAATACTACAAGCAAACATTTACCATGCACTTACTAGGTTCCAGGCACTGGGTTCCAAGACTTTCTTGTTAATCCATATCACAACCTTCAGATGTAGCTGAAATCATTTCCACTTGACAGATGAGGAAATGGAGGTATTAAATAACTGAGAGATTAAACATCTTGACAACACAGTTATTGAGGAGGAAGAGCTAGGATGGAGGCCAAGACTGGTTACAAAGCTGAGCTCCAAACCACTTATAGGTATTTTAAACTGATACAGCTCACAGGCAAGTTGGGTTTGGCCTCCACCATGCATGAAAGAAAAGTGAACCAACATTTAAAACTTGAAAGCTCTCACATGAAAATGTGGATTCCAGCTTCTTTGGGAAATATCAGAGGGCCTTGCTTGCATCACTAAGCCAGCGTGCTGGTGCCAGGGGCTGGGTGGAGCTCGCCTGTCTACACCCTTCCTTTTTGCATCAGCTCTCTCACACACACACTGAGGTGAAACCAGAGTGCCCATGTATTACCATGCTTGCAAAACTGTTTTTCTCCAGGTAGTGAAACATTCTTTACTATCCTAGTCTCTATTAAGAGTGACCAGGGGCTGGGGATTTAGCTCAGTGGTTCCACCGCCTGCCTCGCAAGTGCAAGGTTCTGAGTTCGATTCCCAGTACCAAAAAAAAAGAGAGAGTGACCAGAGCCGGGTGTGTTGGCACGTGCCTGTGATCCTAGCACTGGGGAGACTGAAGCAGGAGGATTGCTACAGGTTTGAGTCCAGCTTGGGCTACTCAGTGAGTTCAAGAACAGCCTGAACTACATTGTGAAACACTGTGTCAAGCCAAAAAAAGTGTAACCAGAGGGCTGTGCCTCTGTGTGTGTGTGTGTGTGTGTGTTACTGGAGGCTGATAGTGTAGCTCAGTGGTAGAACACTTGCCTAACATGTGAGAAGCCCTGAAATCAGTCCCCACTATCACCAAAAAAAAAATAAAGTGGGTAAAGGCGTTCACTGTCCTGCACTCACTATATTCCTGTGACACACTGCATTCCTTTCATGGGATATGTCTCAAACCCAGCACAATATGACTAAGAAAACATGACACATCTCATAATGAGCTTTTGCTCTATTCCCTGACCTGACTTCAAGGATGTTTTGTTTAGTTCTAAAAGCACAGCAGGGCACTGTTTCAAAGTCAAGTGAATTTAGAATTTTTGTTTGCAAACTTTAAAGATCTTCCTTAAACTACCACCGAATATTCAACACTTTCTTTTTTTGTTTGTCTGTTTTGTTTTGTTTTGTTTTGGTACTGGGGATGGAACTTGGGTCCTTCCGCTGAGCTAAATCCCTGGCCCCCTATTCAACACTCTAAAACACTTCTGCAAGGACAGGACAATAGGCTCCAACCTACCTTCTCCGGAAGGCCCCACAGTTGAAGGTTTGAATCACTGCTTTCAGATCCTTTGGTGCTGGGGTTGGTGCCTCACTTCTGTAAGCCCCAACTTGGGGAGGATACTAATACAACCTGCCTAGAGCATTTCTAGGAGGATTAAGGGAGAAAATATGCTGATAGTGCTCTCTACCTGGTGAGCACTCAGCAAGGACAGCCCTCTGCTTCTTGATATTTAAGCGAGAGAATCTGTGTTTCACTGCAGAGAGCCTGGGAATCAAGCTTAGCAGACACTGCAGTTTGGGCAAGAGGAAATAATGCCAAGGACTCAAGTATTTAAACTGCTTTTCAGAAGAATTAAAAGGAAAAATAAACCCACCATCCAAATACATAGTTCTCTTCCCTCCATTCCCATGGGTGCCCTGTCCCTCGAAACCATCATTTGTTGCTTTGAACTTCTGGATCTTTTAGCAGGTCTCCCTAGAAGGGAGCTGCAAGGCGAAGAGGCAGGCAGTCCAGGAAAGGAGGCAATTTCTGGGAAGGTCAGGGCCCATCGGTGTGATTCTCTCCCTGCCACATTCCAGTTCGGCAGAAACACCAAGGGCAGGCAGAAAGGGAAAATGAGGTCACACAAGCCACAGCTGGAAGGCAGTGTGTGGAAAGAGGTGGGGCACCCCTTGGCCGGGCAGATGCTGCAGCAGGAACCTTCGTGGGACCCTTGCTGAGACTCAGGCAGTCATGAGGCAGATCTGGCCTGGGAGTCCAGTTCCCATTCTACCATTTACAATCTAAACATTAGGGCCTCACTCTTCCTTGTGAACTGAGTTATGAAGAACTCGTCTTGCCTTTTCCAGGTTGCTGGGGAGATCTACAGGAGTACTGACAGAGTCTTTTGGGGGCTTGTCTTCCTTGTGAACAGTTCCAGAGCTGTGTCCTACCTGCCGGATGCTGGGCGTAAATGAGGTGCTCGATATATGTATGTTGAACTGTGCTCAACTAGCTAAGGTAGAAAGGCAGGCTGCCCGGCCGTGTGTTCTATGTGTAAGGGTTCAACATCCTCTAGATTACAAACTGCTTTAAAAATAGATCTACACATTGACAATGAGCAAAAGGGAATAAAGGAAACATGAAATTATCTGTTCTGCCAGGCTGTTGGAGTATGGGTAACTTTCTTTCATATTATATTTCTTGAATAAATAAAACTGAAGCAGGGAAAACACAGCAGGGATCTTCAGATCTTCAAAAGAAACACATCACACTGTATTCCCACAGAACCCAAGTCAGTGCTCAATAAGCATTCAGCGAGTTTAACTTGCTTTTCCCTGGCTGGTCACAAAGGGTCATACACAGGACACACCACACCACCACCACCACCATTTTGCACTTGATCTTAGCCAAAAGGCCGAGAAGCGATACCATCACCATTTTGACATCAGCAGGACCTAAAGAATGTCTTTGAGGGTCTCCTCCAGACTATTTCTCTTTTCCAAGCTTTCTAGTCCCCTTTCCTGTTTTCCACACATTTTTAAGGACATATAACTGCTCCCACAGCCATTCCTGTCCCTCCTTAATATTAATTAAAAATTAATGGAGTGGAGAAGAGAGTTAGTTTTGAATTCCTGCTCTTGGAACTGAGTTACTTGACCCCTTCCATCCCTCAGTGTCTTTGTCTGGTCACAGGAGAAAATGTTCCTCCAGTTTACCACATGTCATAGTTACTGAGCACTTCACTGGTGCAGGAGCTATGCCCAGCAGGCACTGCCCACTGGGGATCTGGCAGGACTAGTGAGGTCATAGGTGGGCAGACTGCACCTCACTGTCCCCCACAGTGAGCTCATGGGAATAGCAGGCCCAGGGGGGAGGCCTTTTTGTAGTATTTGGGAGCATCTATCAAAAGCTTCAAAGCATAAACCTTTTGGCCCATAATTTACTCCTTAGGAATTTAACTTAAGGAAATAATTAAGGAATTTACAACAAGATTTAGCTACATAGCATTATTTGTAACAGCAATGATGGTGGGAAGAGAACTACTGTTCAACAACAGAGTGTTGACTGAGTAAATTGAAATGCATCCACACAATGGACTATTATGCAGACAATAGAATGTCTAAAGGAGTATTTGGATATGGACAGGATATGTATTTAGGATATGGATAGTATTTGGATCACATTCTGTTGCTGATTTTTATAAAGCCCAGGCTGGGGGGGGCAAGTGTAGCTCAGTAGTAGAGCATTTGCCTACCGTGTACAAAGCCATGAGGTCAATCCCCAGCACCACAAAAAATGAGTAATTTTAAATAGACAAAACCCAAAAATGAATATATGGCACAATCTCATTCTCATTTTCTCTCCCGCTCTTTCTTTAATCAAGTAATGTCTGGAAAGACACTTCTGCATTCTTTTTGTTAATCTTGAGCAGCCAAGTAGCCTGGGAAGGTTGATTATAATGCAGGTGCCAAGGCCCTACTGCAGGCCTACTGAATCCAAACCTCAGGGAGAGGGGACGTCTGGATTGTAAACAAGAGTCCCAGGTGACGGGAAGCACGCCAGAGTTCCAGGCCCCTGTGAGCCCCTAAGCTTAACACGGCTTCTCATTGACTCGTGGAATGACTGCTGGCTTTTACTTTCTACTCTGTATCTACAAGTAGTGTGTTGATAACTAAAAAGAGATAGAAAACGTGCATGTGTGTCTTATTTTTGTTTCAAACTTAACCTTATGTGACCTCAACCCCTATGTGCAGAGTTCCATGTGGTAGTGGAAAGGGAGTGAAGGAGTAAACCATGGGCTCCCAGAAGAGCTCAAGGAGATGAGACCAACCACCCAATCCTGGGGCCAAGGAGCAGAGACTTCCCAAAATGAAAAATCTATGTGAGGAGCTGGTGGTGTAGCTCAGTGACAGAGGGTATACTTAGCATGTGTGATTGGGTTTGATCCCCAGCACCCCACAAAGCTGGTTGAGTTCAGAGGTGTTAAGCTGAACTCAAGCCACCTTCCCGCATTAGAAGTGCCATCAGTCTAGGTCAGAGCAACAGGGCAAGCATCCCAAGAAACATATAGCATGCTTACCACTCTAACCTACATGGCCAACAAAGTACGTTCTGGCACATTCAGGCAACAAAATCCTACGCAGCCAAGAGGGGTGTGGGGTGAAAATATATGGATGACATTGTCAAATGAAAGAATGATACAAACCAAGAGAATATTAATGTAAAGGGTTCCCCCCCAGTGTAAATTTTTATACAGGGAGAATGAGAACAGGAGGGAGAGGAGAGGCAATCTGTAAGGATATTCTCCAAAGTGTTAACAGGAGTTGTGTCTTAGTGGTAGAACTTCAGGTATAGCAAGAACATCCCTTATCCAAAATACTTGGGACTGGAAGTGTCTCAGATTTGGGAATTCCCAGTATTTTAGAATATCTGCATATAGGACCCAAGTCTAAACATAAAATTTATTGGCGTTTTTTTGGGGGGGATGTACTGGGAATTGAACTCCGGGCCTCACACTTGGCAGGCAAATGCTGCACCACTGAGCTACATTCCTGGCCCTAAACATAAAATTTATTTGTGTTTCATATACACCTTATACACACAGCCTGATGGTAGTTTTACACAATCTTTTTAGTGTGCCTATGTTTTGACTGCCAAACCACACATTAGATCAGGTGTAGAATCTATTACTCATGGTACCATGTCAGCATTCAAAGTCTCAGATTTTGGAGCATTTTGGATTTCAGGTTTGGTATGATCCAATGTTTAGGTTAGAAATGTAATCTGGGTTCAATCCCCGGTACCAAAAAAAAAAAAAAAAGAAATGTAATCTGGGGGGAGGTAACATTTTTCTATTTGAATTGTATACCATGAATAAGTATCATTTTCTAGTCATAAAATGTATTATTATGATTCTTTTGTGTGTGTGTGTGGTACTGGGGATTGAACTCAGGTCCTTGTGCTTTGGAGGCAGGTAGTGGAACCACTGAGCTAAATCCCTGGCCCATAGAAATATATTCTTGTAGGGCATGGTGATGCATGCCTGTAATCTTGGTACTCTGGGAGGCTGAAGAAGGAGAATCACAAGTTTGAACACAGCCTGGGCAATTTAGCAACTTAGACCCTGTCTCAAAATAAAGAAAGAAAGAAAGGACTGGGGATGTAGCCGAGTGCAAAGGGCCTGGGTTTAATCCCCAATACTTCAAAGAAAAAAAGTTTCCTTCTTGATACATATATATTTGCACCCATTTAAATTCTTTATTGATTATCTTTTTGCAGTTTCATTCAAGTTGGCTAACTGTAGCTCTGCAGATGTTCAGCTGTGCTGCAGAAAGCCCAGAGAGAGGAAGAAAACGAGCCAAGCAGAAAAAGTTCGGTGGACTGAGTGAGTGGCCATGGGAGATGGGAACTCAGTCTGACCAAGTCTAAGCCCGAAGTGCTTTACAGACCTTACCAAAAGGCCAAGGGCGTGGAGAAAGAGAGACAGTTAAAAAAAAATACTTCTCAAATAAAATGTTTAAATGAATAAAAAAGTGGAAAGATAGTTTTTGTTTTTTGTTTTGTTTTGTTTGTTGGTACTGGGGATCGAACTCAGGACTTCACGTTTGCCAGGCAGGCGCTGTGCCACTGAGCTAAATCCCCAGCCCTGGAAAGGTATTTTTAACACATATGGCAAGAAGCTCATGTAAGTCAATAGGCACAGAGACCATGATGATTTTAAGGTGCCAACACCTGAATAGGTAAGATGATAAAGGATATAAGCAGATATTTACAAAGAAGAAATAATGGAACATAGTAAACCTGTGAAAAAATGTTTACATACTTAAAATACTGATAACACTCTTATTTTCTGGATCTCAATGTTGGTTACATGGATGTGTGTACAGTTTGTGAAAATTCATCAAGCTAAACACTTATGCTGTTCACTTTTCTGTATGCATAGTATCCCCAAGATAAAAGTTATTCCAAGAACTAAAATCTTAAAAACAGAACGGATAAACACAAAATTCAGGAAAGGGACTGGTTGGGAAGGAACTGGAAAGCACAAAAGTAGGAATAAACACTGTCTTGGGTTAGGTGGTGAGTTTACAAATGTTTGTTTAATAACTATATTACCTAGAACATTTAATTTTAAATAATATTTGTAGAGGATCATGTGGGGAACTAAACAGATCTAGACTGCATTTCCTGCTCTGTCACTCGCTCACTATGTGATCCTGGCTCTTGGCCTCTCTGACTCAATGTCCTTATCTGTTAAAAGGAGGAATGTGAGATTTAAAACATGGGGTGTACAAAATTACCTCATATTGACCTGGCAGTCTTTATATGCTCAGTAAAAGTTAGCGTGGTCTCCATTTCTCATTCATTGCACAAACAACATTATACAGAAATGTCACAAAGTTTTTCAACTGCCCATCCCCTAACTGACTGGCCCCTTTCTGATTCGCATTCCAGCCTGGTACATATGTACCATCATTTTGTATTTGCAGAATTTTGTATCCTGCTATTCTTCAAAAGCAAACATGCATTACTGTGTTTGAGCTCCCTGCCCCTGGCATAAACTCTTAGCCACTAAGTGCCAGACAGAGCAGAAAGCTTGAGTCTGGGGGGCTGTTAATGAGAGAGGGGGAGGCGGTTCCCTACAGCCACAGAGCCAGCTCTTGGCGTGTACCTGAGTCTTCAACAAAATCTTTCTGAGACTGACCCTCCGCCTGCAAGTGGAAGAAGCTCAACTGTAAGTGCTAAAAGGAGTATCTGTGTGCTGCTTATTAAAAAAATGTGGGGCCAGGGATTTAGCTCAGTGGTTTCGCCGCCTGCTGCGCAAACACAAGGACCCGAGTTCAATCCCCAGTACCAAAAAAAAAAAATGATGAGCGGGGGTGGTGAGGATTGGCTCTGTGGAGTCACATGCTGCAGGCTTGGGATCACATGACTGGACAAGGAACAAGACAGCACCTGCTTGCTACCTCATGACCTAAAAATTACAGACATGTAAAACTGGCCATGGTGGTACATACCTATAATCTCAGCATTCAGGAGGCTGAAGATGGAGGATCATGAATTCAAGGTCATCTGAGCTACATAGGAGGTCCAAGGCCAGCCTGACTACATAGTAAGACACTGTCTCAAAATAAAAAAATTAAAAGAGAAAAGATCCTGGGTTCAATCCCTAGTACTGGCCCCCACCAAAGGCTTGACAGGCAGGTGGCACATGTGTATAATCCCAGCTACTTGAGAAGCTGAGGCAGAAGGGTTGCAAGTTGGAGGCCAGCCTGGGTAACACAGCTAGACCCTATCTCAAAATAAAATATAAAGGGCTAGGAATGTAGCTCACTGGTAGAGGCCCTGGGTGCAATCCCCAGTACCACCCCCACCTCAAAACTTCATCATTAATCACCCAGTTAAATAATACATAACACAATATAGTATAGAACATGGTATATAAGAACAACTGTTAAATTTTGGTGTGATTTATTTAAAAATCAAATTTATCTTTTTCTATATCCCAAATATAATTTATAATCATACATGTATACAATACAAACATATATGTATGCAAATATAAATGTTTTTAAATTTTGTTTCTATATTTAATATTTCAGTAAAATGTTTTGTATTCTTAGACTATTTTAAAAAACACTTTGATAGCTATATGTTATTCCATGATATACCATATTTCATTTAATCACTTCCTATTTGCTTTAAGTTATACATAGAATTACTTAACTCTAAATATTAGGTTGAGGGCCAGGGATTTAGCTCAGTGGTTTCACTGCCTGCTGCGCAAGCGCAAGGACTCACGTTCCATCCCCAGTACCAAAAAAAAAAAATTAAGTTGACCTTTCCAATTTAGGATTTTTCAACTTTACAATAGCGCAAAAGGAATACACATTCATAGAAACTGTACTAGAATTTCAAATTTTGATCTTTTCCTGGGCTGGCAATGTGTGGAATGATACTCTCATGTTGGGCAGCTGCAGTTGCTTATGAGGGAAACAACAGACGTTTCGACACTGTAGTTTACTAGTATTATGGATGAATAGCTGGAGATTATGGAGAATGTCTTTCATTTGATACACGGGGGTGAAGTACTTAAGTGTGAAATGTCATAACTTCAAATGTCTAACTTTTATCAGAACCCCACACACACACACACACACACACACAAACACAGAGTAAGATTAAAGGAAATTTAGCAAAATGTTAACAGTTGTGTTAGGAGAAGAATATATATCTTTGCTCATTGTGTTACTTTTTTACCTCTTTCAAAGTTTTAAGAGAGTATCATATTATATGTACCTTCTGGCATTGTTCTCCCCAACTGACATTATGTTTCTAAAATTATCAATGTTTGGGGGGTTTTTTGGTACCAGGGATCGAACTAGGGTCCTTGTGCAGGCGGTGAAACCACTGAGCTAAATCCCTGGCCCTAAATTATTAATGTTATCGAACATAGCTGAAGTTGTTTCATTCAGTACAGCATATTTCATTGTGTGTCTGTACTCTAGAATTTATCCATATTTCTTTCAATGTGCCTATTTTTTGGTTGTTTTTGCTATTATAAACAGTGCTTCTTCACCAGGCATAATGGCATGAGCCTATAATCCCAGCATTCTGGGAGGCTCAGGCAGGACTAGAGGATCACATGTTTGAGTCCAGTCTAAGGAACTTAGCCAGATCCTGTCTCAAAATAAAAAATAAAAAAGGGCTGGGGATGTAGCTTAGTGTGAAAGTCCTGAGTTCACTGGGTTTAAACCTCACTACCGTAAAAACAAACACCCAGTGCTCTTTTTTTTTTTTTTAAACAGCCCATTGCTTGCAAGCTCTGTCCAAAACACCTCTTCCCAGGTCTCTCAGAAATGAGCTTACACATCTCTGGGGTTATACTACAAACTCCTTACCCAGAGACCAGGATTGCAAGGCTGTTTCTTGTTGAGTCAGGCTGGTCTGACTCAGGGTCGTTTTGTTCTCCACTGGGGAGATTCCGGTCCCTACATCTGAGATTTTAGAGCAGTCTACCTGTTGCTTCTTTCTTCGGATAAATTTAAAGATTCCACCTAAAAAATGAAATCAGTAACATTTGACTCTTTTTACGTCATTCTACATTTTGAAGGCACTGTTCTCAGAATACAAATTCCAGGAAGGCAGGACCCACGCCTGACTTGTTCACCAGGGTGTCCTCAGTGCCAGTGTGTGTGCATATGTTTTGCAGGACTGCTCTGTCCTCATGAGATCTTTCTTGGTCTTCTTTCCACCCACTGGCATTAGTCAGTTGCATAAACTGTCCACCATGTAGTTCCCAATTTGTTTTGCTGCTATAAATTGAACTTTTATGAATTTTTTTCCATTGAGATTAATGCCTCATAAATTCCCCAAAGTAGAATTATGAGATTTAAAAGATATGGAGTCTTAAATATTTAATTTATTACATATTGTTCAACAGATGGAACCTTGAAAAAGTGAATAATTTACTGTGCCCTAATTATATCTATTGGTTTCCTAAAAGCTCTGCCAAGATTAGTTTTTGTGTTTCCAGTAGTGGTTCTTTTTTGTTTTTGTTTCCAGTAGTTTTTGTTTTTAAGGTTTTGTTTGTTTTTTAGACAGGGTTTCCGCTATGTAGTTCGAGCTGACTTTGAACTTGCTATGTAGCCCAGGCTGGCCTGGGAATTTACAGTGATCCTCCAGCCTCTGCCTCCCAAGTGCTGGGATTACAGGAGTCACCACACCCAGCTTCAGTAGTTTACATATTTAAAGGAAGCTAATTTCCTTAATTCTATTGATTTTTGTACTTTCCTTGTGGCAACTTTCCATTCCTTAAACTTGTGCTACAAATTGAAATAAAAGTCTACTTTTTTCTAGCCAGGTGTGGTAGTGCACACCTATAATACCAGCAGTTTGGAGGCTGAGGCAGGAAGATCAAAAGTTCAAGCCCAACCTGAGTCACAATCAGCAACTTATCAAGACGCTGTCTCAAAATAAATTTTAAAAGGTGGTATGCACCTCAGTGCAAAGGTCTTTTATTCCATTTCCCATACCAAAAAAATAAAATTAAACTAAATTTTTAAAAGATTTTTTTAACTTAAAAAGTTTTGGCACTGGAGGTTGAACCCAAGTCCTCATACATACTAAACACATACTCTACCACTGAGCTACATCCCCTTAAATTTTATAACTGTAATCCAGTTGCCCCAATAACATTTAAAGGTAAAGATTTCTTTTTCCATTAAATCTCCTTCTGGAATTTATTCTAGTCCATTGAACTTTCTACTGTTTATTTTAATTCAATGCCATATGTTTTTCATGATTATGACATCATCTAAAACTTGAAAGGGTAACTCTCTCCTCATTGCCTTCCTATTAAAGAAAAAAAAAAGCTCTTTGGGACACTTGTCTTTTTCTGGGTTTTTTTTTTTTTCGTTTTCAATAAATGTTTACTAACTGCCACTGGGTCTGAGGCGCTGAGTCTGTGCAGGAATTAAAAAATCACTGCCCAGGGGCTGCGAATGTAGCTCAGCAATAGATCACGTGCC